GTGAAAGAATATCTAATGGTCTTTAGAGAGTGGTGCAGACTGGGACTTTTTTTTTAGAAAGGTGCCTTGTGGCTCTTCCTTGTGGTATTAATGAGACCGTAGTGCAGGATGGAAAAGAAAAAGCAATGGACATGAAGGTAAGATTGCAAGTATGTGCATGGGAAATTGTGGGATTTCCTTGAGGAATGATATACAGGTGGATTGGGGTGGATAGGAGGGTACAATGATTTTTGCTGTTTCAAACAATACAGTGTCTATGAATATCTACTTACCTTTGGATATGAAACAAGGCTCATGGTAAAACCAAGATTTCTGAGATCTGGAACATCGAGTTGTTCAGTGGAAAAATTCAGTCCACTAAAACCCAAGCTTAGTGTTTGCTGAGAGAGTAGCAAAATGCAGTTCAGAAGGCAGCTATTACAAAAAATAGTAACAGTGATCTCTTGATTACTATAGTATCTGTTGGATATTGTAGAACAGGAGAGATGGTCCACAGAGCGATGATGTAAATTACACAAGCTGTGGAGGTTTCCTGTGAGAGAAGACATGAAATCTGGCAACTTCTGTAGGTGCATGCAACTTATTTTCACACTGTGAGTAGTGTCATGCTTGCAACATTGTCAAAGCAAGCTTTGTGTTGTGTTTTCCTTCCAAAAGTTTGATAAACTCGTGTTTGGAGAAGGAACCAACTTATTCTTACTCCAGGTATGTGAATTTTGCAATTTAGTTAAATGCCTAACTACAGATAGGCACACTCAGGTTTGAAAAATACTCACTCTGTAGTCTATTTCTTCCTTTCATCTCATATAAAATTATGAATAAGAAAGTTGGTCCCAAACTATGAACAAGGGAGAATTTCCAAATAGCCGCTTGGATTTGGAGATATACAATGCAACAACACTGGGGGAAATAAAAAAAAAAATTCTTTCCTCTTTTGAAAATTGTGAGTATATACTCACACCTAAGAAACTTTCCTGAGCATATGAATCAGAAACCTCAAGTAAATTTTTATCTACTTCAACAATTAAATCTCAAGTAAATTTTCAGCTAGAAGATTCATCAGGAGACATTTTACTTTCAAAAAAGAAAAAATAACTAAGAAAAGTAAAAGGCTCTTGGAAGACTGTCAAAATAATAATTTCCCCCATTCGATAAGAGTGAAAGGAATTGTAAATACTTCATGTCTGGCTTAGTTGTTTTCTCTGCTTTCTCAGAAATTAAATCCTATTTTCTCTTTGGGATGGAGAGCAAATTGAATTTTGGTCTAGGTTTTGCAGAAAGAATGGAAGAAAAGTGTCACTGGTGCTTGGATTTTGTTTGCTCATCAACTTATGATTTAATGATGATCTCATCCTCTCTTTAATCTACAAGCTCTTCAGGGAGAAGGGTCTTTTATGGGTCAATTTCAAGGAAGGACTCTGTGCTTGACAGTAACCAGTGAATGAAATCTTGATGCGCTGTGCCCCAATCTCTATTTTTGTGTGAATGCATTTTTCCAGTTATATATGACTTGGGTTTCAGAGCTTTTGGCATGCTAAGCCAGTTTTTATCATGCAAAACTATCTACTTGTGCAACCTGGGAGAATGTATTTTGACACTCTTGGATAAATTAGCCAAGTTTGGCTCAAATTGGTTTCTTTTTGAGGTTTGGTTGTGGCATTTTTATGGTGAGGTTATTGTTGTTTTCCATTTACTAGCCCTTCTAGGTTCTTCTGTTATCTAGGGTTGCTCAGGTTCTCTGAGTCTCTGGATAATGGAAAATTAACTATAGTTGTACTTACAGTGTGCTTGCTTGTGTGCTTGGATAAATTAGCCAAGTTTGGCTCAAATTGGTTTCTTTTTGAGGTTTGGTTGTGGCATTTTTATGGTGAGGTTATTGTTGTTTTCCATTTACTAGCCCTTCTAGGTTCTTCTGTTATCTAGGGTTGCTCAGGTTCTCTGAGTCTCTGGATAATGGAAAATTAACTATAGTTGTACTTACAGTGTGCTTGCTTGTGTGTGTGTCACAGACATCACTGCTTGAACCAGAGCAGCTGTGGAAGACCTAGTTCTGGAGATGGGAGATTTCTGTTGTGTGCTGTGTGTTGCTGTTGTGTGCAGACTTTGGGGCATGATACAAGCTCACATTTGGTAGTGGCATGCCCCCTCAGAGTTGAACCCAGCAAGTATTAATTAATACAACATGAAGTGCAGCTTGCAAAGGAGATTGGACATTGCAAGGCAACAGAGCAGAAAGGTAACACACACTGGTGAGACTCAAGAGCAGCAGTCAGAAAGCTTCTAAACTCTGTCTGGCAAGTTGTATATGCACACACTAATTGACAGATGCTGCTGTTGTGTGGAAACAGAGGAAAGAATAATCAGATGACTGGCCAGGTGGTGGACAACAGCTAAACTCTAGGTGTCAGCCATCATGAAGCAGGAAGAGGAATGTGGCTGAAGGAACGGTTTATTTCATTCTATGTGCTGAGGAGGTGGCCAATAACATTGATTAGATTATTCCAATAAGTATCTTGTATTAACATGATCTCAAGTTTTAATGCAGCGTATGTGCAACATTTTGCAAAGCACAGTGTCACAGTGTAAAACTGTGAGTTACCTTAAACTTACACTTGGACCTGGAATGAAACTCCTAATTTCTCCATGTATGTCTGAATTCTCAGATGTGATTTCTCTTGGAACTACATCTTCCACTTTGCAAGTAGTTTTGCCTGTTGTGTCACTCCACAGTATATTAGGAATAGGATGGTAAATTTTCAGCTGGTATAATAACATGTGATTTCTATGGTTGAATATATATTTTCCCCTCCCTATGTCTGATGATAAACTAGTCACAGCATGTTTTACATATGCAAGAGGATTTTTCTTGGAAAGTCAACAGCAAATGGGCTCCTATACAAAAAATATTCATACAGAGGAGAAGCAAAGGGAAATGGTAAAATCCAGCATGGCCCAGCAAAATGCAGAGTGCTGAGATTAGTCTCATAAAGCTGTAGCAGGTAAAAATTACATTTCTAGTGTGTGGATGTTAATATTTTAAGATAACAAGACTCAATTGTATGCAGATGCAAAATGTAAGCACATATTGAGTCTTTGCTTTGGAGATCCTCAATAGAGCTGCAATGATAGGGAGTGGGTTTCTGTCATATTGTGAAGCATTATATAAATAATGGAAGCCTAGGAAGCAATCTTATCCTTGAGAATGATACCAAGTTATTAATCAGAGCCAAATAGTGGTGAGCACTGTGATATTACCTTGAGCTTCAACACTGATGTGAATCTTGGCAATACATTTGAAGTGAAGCTCTGAAACTGTTGGAGAACAGTGTGATAAGTCTTAAAAGTTAGGGGTGGAATAGGTACGCAGACAGAAAGGAAAGAGGTCAAGAAGCAAAGTTCATTATTGAATGACTTCTGTGAAAAGATGGAAACTTGACCCAGACCACAAAATAATTTTCTCTGAATAAAAAAAGCATGAAAAAATTTGTGCTCGGACAGTTGCTGCCACAAGTGTCTGAAAAAATCCCTCCAAAACCCCACACCTCTTCTCTTACCTGAAGTTCTTTGGAAAAGAGAAAGAAAGTAAGGCAGATCCTGAGACATGAATAGTTTTTGTAAGTGCATTAGTTTTTCTAAATTTCTTAAGAATACTTGTAGGACCAACATTTTGGGTTTACTCTTGAGAAGTAATATTTAAATTTCTTAAAATGGCAGTGATTCTTAAGATAATTTCAAAATCATTTTATTCCGAAAGTTAAAAAACACAGCAATATAAAGAAACCATTCTGAAAACTTCTGTGGAAATCCCTCATATTTCAAATTACTCTCCTGATCCTGTTCAAAAACATTTGAGCAAAATAAGAATCTCAGGTTTATATGTAGCTCTCAGCAAGGTAAAAGAGCTATAAATCAGGGCTTTGCCTGAGTTCATTTACATGTCCCCAAATTTGCTATTATGGTCATGTCTATATGCAGCTACTCCAGATCTCATCCTGGTCACACTGTAGAACCTAGGAGCTTTCAAAACCTCAGTTTTTAATGGCAGAATAAGCAACAGTCTCCCCGCCACAAAGAAATTGTATGCCGAAAAGTGTGCTTTCTACTTAAAAGCTAAATGGCAAATTTGCTCTGGAATACTTCTTGACTAATTCAGATGGCAAATCCAAGAGAATGGGGTGATGGAGTTTGTACTTTGTCATTGATCAATAGTTAAGCTGTGAAGTAACAGTAAATTAATTTTTGAGAGAGGAATTTGCCTGACAGACTAAATAAATGAAGAATGAGATGAAGAATAGAACTTGAGATGCTTTCTGGAAGCAATGGGATAAATATGATGGAGGGGGATATTAAGGAACAAGTGTTTGGGAGTCTAAAAGATGCAAAATACCACATGAAAATAAAGTCAGTTGGAAGAAAAGTCCTAGACAGATGGATCTGTCTAATCACAGAGATGAATAGGATTTCTTTTGGTGGAGTGTTTAATTGTTGAAGGTTCTGTTCAATACCACTCCATATGTTGTAGAGGCCTGTGCTATTGTGTGATGCACAAAGAAATTGTATGCCGAAAAGTGTGCTTTCTACTTAAAAGCTAAATGGCAAATTTGCTCTGGAATACTTCTTGACTAATTCAGATGGCAAATCCAAGAGAATGGGGTGATGGAGTTTGTACTTTGTCATTGATCAATAGTTAAGCTGTGAAGTAACAGTAAATTAATTTTTGAGAGAGGAATTTGCCTGACAGACTAAATAAATGAAGAATGAGATGAAGAATAGAACTTGAGATGCTTTCTGGAAGCAATGGGATAAATATGATGGAGGGGGATATTAAGGAACAAGTGTTTGGGAGTCTAAAAGATGCAAAATACCACATGAAAATAAAGTCAGTTGGAAGAAAAGTCCTAGACAGATGGATCTGTCTAATCACAGAGATGAATAGGATTTCTTTTGGTGGAGTGTTTAATTGTTGAAGGTTCTGTTCAATACCACTCCATATGTTGTAGAGGCCTGTGCTATTGTGTGATGATGGAAGGTTACAAACTCAAATTTGGATCTGGAACAAGACTTCTGGTTTTGCCAGGTACATTTATCCTGATTTTTTGCCTAATTTGCCAGATTGTGGTGGATATACCCCAAGATATGGGCAGTTGGAAGAAAAGTCCTAGACAGATGGATCTGTCTAATCACAGAGATGAATAGGATTTCTTTTGGTGGAGTGTTTAATTGTTGAAGGTTCTGTTCAATACCACTCCATATGTTGTAGAGGCCTGTGCTATTGTGTGATGATGGAAGTAGTTACAAACTCAAATTTGGATCTGGAACAAGACTTCTGGTTTTGCTCTTCTGTCAAGTAACCATGTGGATTTGTTCTCTCCTCACAGTAAATTCATGCCACTTCCATTGGCCTCAAAGTAAGTCCTGGATGGCATAAGTCAGATGAAAATGTATTGAAATACAGGAATGGTTACAGTATTTAGAAAAAATCCACTTATGGTGATTATCACCATTTTATCTGGTATTTGCTTGTAGCAGAATTCGACCAAGGAACAGTATACTCAATATTTTTAATTTTAGTGCTAGCATGGGAATTGGACTGCCTTTTAGCTAGTTTATCTGATGTACAGATACTGTATTATTCACAAGCGTTACAAATGGATTCTGTTTGCAACTGGGACTTAAATCCAGATTTGAGGACCTGTCAGAGCTACAATGCCATACATAGTGCTTACTCCTGATACCATGTACCTAAGTGAGGGTATGTGGATCCTGAAGGAATAGAATTAGAAGGCTCAGACTGCCTTTGAAACTCACTGTGAAGCTCCAAGATCGAAGCAGCATCACAGTGTGCCACTGAAACCTGTAAGGAGATAACTGTAATGAAGGTCAAAGAGGTTCTTGCAAAGGTTTCTGGGTGAATTATGGGGCTAGAGAAGGATACCAGCTGACATTAGGAAAAGGAGCCTTACTGGTGATCAAACCAGGTGAGTAGTAAATGGTCAAGCACTCAGGAGAAAACTGCTATCTGCAAATTTCCAAAACAGTGTGTAAATATGCAAAGAAACTTAGAAGAAAAATAGTCTAGAACCAGAACAAAGCCAGCAGCCACTCTGAGTAAAAATGAGAAATTAGCATGTTGCAGAGCAGGTGCTCCTGAAGCTGGCTGTGAAAAAAACCAAACTTTATTTTTTTATCTCATAGAATCACAGAATGTTTTGGGTTGGGAGGAATCTTAAAGATAATCTAATTCCAACCCCCCTGCCATGGGCAGGGACACCTTCCACTAGACCAGGTTGCTCAAAGCCACATCCAGCCAGACCTTGGACACTTCCAGGGATGGGGCATCCACAGCTTCTCTGGGGAACCTGTCCCAGTGTTCCCCACCCTCTCCATGAAGAACTTCTTCCTGATATCTAATCTAAACATCCTCACTTTCAAATTAAAGCCTTTACCCCTTGTCCTGTCACTAAAGTACCTTCTCAAACTATCAGTCTTCAAGAGCTGGGAAGATTAAATGTATACTTAGAGTACAAATTCACAAAGCTAAATGTAAAAAAAAAAAAAAAATTAACCAGAGGTAATGTTTTGATACGTGTGGAAAATCCTAGTCTAACTGACTTAGAGCAGAATTTGAAGCAAGAAAACAGGAATAAACTCCAGGTGTCTTATATCTGCAGCCTTTAGTTCCCCAAACTCCTCTTCTGCAGGGTAAAATTTAGTAAAAAAATCTTGCACTGCACTGTCAGGTGGTGGAACATAATGAAACATGTATTTGTTTCATCTTTCTTCCCCTAAATGCAACCATATGTTCCTACTTTGCAGTGGGTTTCCTAGCTTTCTTATATAGGAACACATAGATAGAGTGATGGTAAATGTACACACCCTTAAGTCTTGGGAGCTTATCCACTATCCCTTAGGACAGGTGGAGGAAATGGCATTTTGAATGTCAGTGGTGGATTTGACTACACTTTTGCAGGAAAGACAGAATGCCCCTGGACTGCTCAGTTCTCTCCAGACACATTACAACTCATAGCAGTGAAGCAAGAAGAGGGTGCTCTCTCTGCCTGTTATACACATCCCTGAATGCATTCAGAGCAAGATCCAAAAGAAAGCCCAGGCTGCAGAGTGGAGTTGAATGAGTTGTTACAGAGAGGAATGACTAGGTAAGATATGGACATCTAGGATGTGGATGTGCACAGAAGTACCATTTGAGATGCTCTGGGAATCCTGCCTGACCCCTCTCTTTGTCTCCCACACAACATAAGTCAACAGAAGCTTCTGCATCATCTGCTGTAGACGCCTTGGTTCTCTAAAGATGTCCTAGCACAATATCCCTGTATCAGGGGCTTCCCCTTCCTAATATCATGCAACTTCCCACTGGAATAATGGAAAAATCTCCATACCTAAGTGTCTGTTCGTTAACATTGAAGGAACTATGACCGTGTACTCTCATCTAATGTCTCTTCTCTATTTTCAGATATTACTCCATCTCCTTCATTGTACAAGCTGATCTCTAAAGATAATGAGAATTTGGAAATGTGCCTTATCACAGATTACTCCCCTGAAAAGCTTAGTCTTAACTTGTCTGATAAGCAGACAAATGTTGTTGTGGAGGTGGCAACATCCGAGAGCAAACAGGAAGCGAGCTACCTGTCAACCTACTGGGCAAAGAAAGATGAAATGCAGTGTGGTGCAAAACATGACGGCTTTGGAGAACTAGAAGGAGAAGACCCTGAAAGTGGTAATGGCAATACTGGATGTGTGTACAGTGCTAGAGGTACTGTGGTCCATGTGCTATTAGTATGAACAGTTGTTCACATCTGCCAAGCCTGCAAGCAATGCTCAGTTATGCTCCTACACTCCAGAGGAATGTTATCTTTTTGCCTCTGTTTTCTTCTTTCCTTGGTGGAAACAAGATTGAGGGTCAATAAACTGGTACAGTCACAGCAGAGATATCTTAAAATCACATTGGGGGCATATAAAGCTTGAAATTGCATTGTCTGATGGAAATTTAATTAGATCATATTTTATGTCTGCCCTGAAAACAGCAGAAAAGAGTGTGTATGAAAGGGTTACGGGCCAGAAAACCTAATCCAGGCTTTCTAAAAAGATACCTTTTTATGAACTTCTGTAGAGGTATACATTTCTGTTATTCATTAAATTTATTTTTACTATTTGCAGGTACCAGCACTGTCTGTGTTACAGAGGTGTCTCCACATTTCAGGACAGGTATGTACACAGCATTTTAGGAGTAAAGATTGGCTTTCCTAGTTTTTGCTGATGTTGCCTGTGCAGAATTCCTGTTGGAGCAAAAGTTCAGATTGGAAATTTCCAAAAGGGCCCCACAGGCTGGAAGTCATTGGGCTAATGTATTCTCCAAGATCTGAGCTGGTAATTTTTTGACCAGTGTAGCCAGTGCCTTCCTGCTTTTGCTACAACTAGCCAAATAAACACTCACTATCACATAATAATTTAAGGTATTGATATGAGTCAGCTGTACTGCATGTCTGTCTGCATTTCAGAATTCAAGAGAGTTGTTTTTATTTTTGGGTGCACAAACACCTAATGAACCAAAAGATAAGCAGGTGGTTTCTGCAGTATGTGCTTAGAAGCAGGATTGCACTAAAGATACGGTGCATCTGAGCAAGCTTTACTTCAGCTCAAGCACGTGAGAGTACACTGGCCAGGGCTGGAGCCCAAGCAACTGCTGTTGTTGCTAGTTCAAAGGAGCTGACTTGGCTCTGCACTTGCCCTGATGGCAAAATTAGGTACTGTACTGATTTGCTGTACTTCTGCAAATATGCAGCCTTGCTGAAAAGAAAACAGTTAGCCAGATGTTTCCAAAATATCACTTCAGAAAAATGCTCATCAGTAAACTTGGCTCAGTTTTCAAAGATAAACATAAAATTACTCTTTTGCTGACAGCTCCCTGCTTCCTCAATAAAGATCAATGTATTTTGAAATTAAAATGGCTTTGTAATTTAAGATTAGTAGAAAATCCAAATAGACACTGTGTTCTTTGAATAAATTGTACCTTGTTTTTCCTCTTCCCATCTTAAAAAAAAATCAAGGAAAGGAAAGAGAGATGCCTCCAGCATCCTAGGTTCATGATACACTGTTTTTAAAAAACAACTAGACAGTTGGCAGACTTGCATATTGGATAATTAAGTGGTTATTGAATGAAAACCCGGCTCTTGAAACAGCAACTGGAAGAAATTAAAGTCTCTCTGTGAGACAGTCCTGCTCACTGACTTGTTAGTTATCGTACTGGCTGACTCAAACACACAAAGTGGAACAGTTTCATTAAGAAGAACTTTTAAGTCTTGTCTGAATGTGAGGATATCTCAGTGCTCTTGTGACTTTGATTCTCTTTTACTTTGATAGATGAAAATCTGAACATGAGTTCTTTATCAAAGCTGGGCCTGAAAATAATTTTAATGAAAGGAATAATTTTTAATGTACTGATGACAATGCTAATGTGGAAAAAAAAGTGAGTATGCATGGGGTCTATGTAAGGTCTCTGACAGAAAACATCTGGATCACTTCATTAGCTATGAATGTTCCTTCTCTCTGTAAAAACTGTTTATGCAGT